ATCCCTCTATGATTGCCGCATTCTAAACGGGAGCCTCCCTTAAAAATTGGAACAATGACGGAGCGGTTCCAGTCTGTCGGCACTGTCTCCAGCTCCCAAAGTTTTACTAGCAACTCGTGTATATCATCTATTAGAGCAGGTCCTCCGAATTTGAAAAGGGCTGGGGGAATTCTATTTGCCCCTGCGGCCTTATGCAATTTCAACAGCCTGATCTTACGTTCGACTTCTGCGCGTGAGGGCGGATCCAAGGAGACGGCCCAAGGAGAAGGGCGCTCAGTGCCCGAAGAAAGCGATAACTCAGGTTGGTTAAATTGCATAGCAAAGTGTTCAGCCCAACGCTCCAACCGTTTTGACAGGCTGTGGATCGGCTGCCCACTCTCCTCGCGTATGGTCTCGCTAACACCAGGTCTCCTGCTGCCTGTTTCCCGTATCAGACGGAATAACTTACGATGATTACCAATGGCAACGGCTGTTTCCATCTCAGAGGCACGATGAGACCACCAGGTTTCGCGTTCCTTCTTTAGGCTAGCACATAGTTTTGCCCTGAAATTTTTGCGAGCCTCATTGTATTCGCTTCCAGCCGGAATACGTCGGCGAGCATCCATAAGTTCCAGAGACTGTGTAGAGACCCAATGTCCGGTTTGGCAATTTGCTTTGCCACATGAAGACATGCCTGCTAATAGCAACGCTTGACGAATATGCGACCAGTGATCTTCAACGGTGTTTAGTGGGCGCTTACTCAGCCCAGATGTCAGCGCGTCTTGGTACACATTCAGAACATCTGGCTTCGCCAGCTGGCTGGTGTCAAACCGTTCACATCGACGTCGCGGACGTCCACCGAAACGCACCAGGAGGTCGGCACAGACAAGTGCGTGGTCAGAGTCCACGCTCGTGCTCCAAATCGAGCGACAGTTTTGGACACAGCCTCTCCAGCGGTAACTGATCGCGATATGATCGATTTGCGTCCATGGCTGGCCCGAGGCTCGTGGCCGCCAATTCACACTTCTGCGGGTGCTGTGTCGGAAGTTAGTGCCCGCGAGAAAGAGGCGAGCATCTTCACACAGCTGTAGCAATCGCTCACCATTATCATTACGGGAGCCTACACCATGTTGGCCGCCCAGATGAAGCTCATCAGAGGACAATTTCCCGACCTGGGCGTTTAGATCGCCAGCCAGCACCACAGTATCCGTGCTTCTTCTGTAACGAAAGAGCTCGTGAAGTTGCTGATAGAAATCATCTTTCACCTAATCAGTGCTACAGTTTGTAGGGGGCGTAGGCCGCAATGACAAACAGGCACCGTTTGTCCCCGCGCGACTTCGTAGCACGGAACGAACCAGCTAATCTAGCGGCGCACATCCTACTGTTTACTGGGATCCAATCAAGCAGGGCAGCTTCAGCCCGGGGACTCAAAACAATGCCGACGCCAGCTTGACCAGCATTTGAAGCTGCATCATCGCCGGATAGGCGCAATGAGAATGTGCCGCCAGTGTCGCATGTGGGGGATCTCAGGGTAAGCACGGAGCTCGAACCTTGCAGGCGGGTTTCTGATAAACAGCAAATATCGATCGATAGGGTCTCTAGTGTGCGGGCAAGTGCTGCCTGTTGGCCAATCTACAGCAAAGTGCGCACGTTGAGGCATGTCAGTCTTAGCGAGACTCGAGGACTCCAAACTGAACTGACGTTGTCCGCTTGGTTGAACATGGATTTGTCGACTGGATTGGAGCGAGGCACTGCGATTGTGTGTGATTTGAAATTAGAAGACAAGCGACTATTGAAGTAAGCTGGGGGAGGGCCAAGAATTGGGGGATTGAAAATGGGGGGATATAAGTAAAGTTGGAGCGGGACAATAAGGATGCAGAAGCGCAAGAAGGGGTATAAGAAGACGGGAAGGCCTGAGCAGTGGCATCCATACCCCTATCCACCCTTCTGGATGAAGCAGATAGGGCATCGTTTATTATCCTCTGCGGTAGCAAGAGCATCAAGAAATTGTTTGAGGTAAGATTCATAGTATTGCGTGGGCAGGATACTGTCAGGTTGCCCAGGCCTAGACAGGAAAACAATTAGGGTTCTCAACCAAAGCCTTTGGTTCAAAAACCTTACCGCAAGGCAGCGGGTTTTGGCGCTGGACTACAGAGCCCATTTTATGAAATGAGGAGCCACCCCCATTCCAACCCCAAACCTGGAGGACCAGGAGGCTGAGTTTGTCTGGCCTCTAACCATTGACCAATCTGGTATGAGTGGCTCTGGAGGTGCAAAAAAAGCACCACCCAGTATAGCTAAATGGATCTCTGAGGCACGCAAACCATCGCACCACGGTAAGGTCCAGCCTCATTGCGATGGGACGCTACAGTTACCTTAGCCTAGAGAGAATGAGACGAGCTCTTGAGATGTGCATCGGAATCTTTTCTCTAACAACCCCACTAAAAGTGATGCAGCTTCTCAAGTGCACAAAATATTAGGCGAGCAACCTGAGAGAACATCCACGCACGACATTTCGACACTAGGCCATGCCAACAGCGGAAACGGGCTGCACGCGGGACATGCGAAGAGGCAGCCAAATATGGAACAGTTGTGATGTGAGTAGCTAGCAAGCTCGCGAATGAGGGCCGTGTCTTGGTGCAAACAAAAGGCCAAATATGGCAAATCAGTCACACGGAACGCGTTCACATTGGTGGGGGGCAGGGACGCTAAAGATGCGGGGATCGCTGTTACTATAGAGTGCACGGTAGACAAGTAAATAGAACAGTCTCTGCTCATAGATTGCGCACCGTCGACCGATGTTTGGCTTTTGGTTTTCGAGTTGGGCGCCAGACAGAGTAGACCGTAAACAGCAGTACCGCAGGCGAGGTAGTACAAGAAATACCCTCCACAACATCCAGCGTCTCAACACCAAAGATGAGTGCAGACACAGAGACCTGCCATGCATGAAATAGAGCTTTCCACTTGGATGGGGAAAGTGTATGTCACACTTGGTGAATTAATCGAAAAGCGATTTAGTGCAAGCTGGATGGCTTGCGGCCCGTCACCCAGCAAGATGACATCATCAGATACTGAACGCTTTCCTGTTAGTGTACAGATTAAGCACGAATCCCCAGGTACCAAATCAATTGTTGCTAACAGAGAAACTAATGGGGTGAAAACTCCGTAATGTAAAGTCAATACTGCTTCCGAGGCGTACCATGTCGCAAAGGAACATGCAAATGGAAATGTACTACAACCACGACATAGAACTCAACCACGGCGATTTTTCTCAGGACAAGGCGCTTCGGTCAGAGATTATCGCAGGGGAGACCACAGTGGGCGACAGGATCGATCCGGAGAAGACCTGGTCAGATACACTATGAGGTCAGATTAGACAAATGATGTGGACCAGGCATGCTAATCTGCTGCGACGACCTAGCATCTCGGCAAGCAATAGTAATCGACTGCTATCTCTAAACATACTTTGCTTTACTGTGGTTAGCTCCTGCGACAGGATGAGTCGGCTTCATGAATGTCGCGGACTGCAGCCGTCCAAGCGCGGAGGTCATCGCCAAGATCTACGCACTGATCCAATGATTTTTCCAGTGATGAGCACCATGCAATACCTGGAGTTCCAGAAGATCGATATCCGATTTCAGTGCATCGAGCCACGTTTTCAATTGTCCACCATGGCGACGACACCAACCCTGACAAGGCGAGGGCGAAGCCACGGCCCTAGTGAAGTCAGTGTCTGGCATGCGGAGGTCGTGACCGAACCACTCAAGTCTGCGGAGTTTGTGAGCGCTGAGAGCTTCAGAAGACCGTCACGGCGCTTATGAAATTCCTCATTGGTGATACGCTCATGCCACGGTGTTTACAAGATAAGTCTTAGACACCTCTAGATATCCTACTGGACAGTTTCGATATGCCATCAAATACTCAGAACGCTTCGGATTCACCTCGCACAAAAGTTCCAGAAGAGTCGAACATACAATCACGGCGCTGGACTGACCGAGTACGAAGATCTGTCATCAAAAAGAAAGTTGAATCCAAGAAGAAAGTTGGATGACAGTTTTCGCGGGGAAGGTGTATAGGGGTCTCCCATAGCAGCCTTCGGAGCTGGACCCCCTCCGCTAGCAGCCCGCAGTAGTTTGATCCTGACGCAGACTGAAGCTTATTCGCTAACCAATGAGAGCTGGAAAATGGTGACGTTTCACCGTGTACGCTAGCAATGAGAATGATCTAGCTTGAAACCTGCCAGTGAGCGCATTATTTCGGCAACCAACAAGTGCATTATCAGATATCTAGTAGCTGGTGAAATTCAGGGAAGTTCAGCTGGGTCATTCTCTAGTGGACTATTAGTTGATCTCAGTATTTGTTTGTGTACACTACATGCCTGAGACATTTATCTTCTGATCTGGGAAGCAGGTCGGTCAGCTTGCGCAACTGGGGCAGGTTATCCGTACGGTCGACGTAAACCACAAGAATGCCAGAGGAAGAAGATGGAGCTAGAGGGCAACAAAACTGCAAAAATATGTTCAGCTCGTCGTCACCAGCGTCGTGGATTATTGGTGGTTAAGTAACAGAGAAGATAGGCATCAGCAGTACGCCGTTACGCAGAACCGACGCTTCGCTGCGGCGCAACAACCACGAGTTGCACGTGGGCTAAGGATACTGCGAGGGAAGCCCTGCCCCTACGCAGGCTCGAACTCGCACTGTCAGATTACAAGCTCGTTAATTTTGGGCTGCGGGCCCGGATGGTTAGATAATCATCCCCTTCGCAGATTTTTTCATTTACATCAGATCGAGTCGTCAAGGTGAACGCGCTACAGCTACAAGTGGAGATAGAAGAGGTAGGTAGTGCGAAAGGAATAGTCGAAAGTGACCATTGGGTTAGGCGGAGTGTGTCCCCTTACACAAACAAGTGATGATTACCAAAACAATCTTTGTAGGGATGAGAAGTATAATCCAAGGAGAAAGGTTGTAGTGGAGTACAAATTGTACCAAGCAATATGAGAAAAGGGAGAAGAAAAGCTCACGATGTCCGTTTGATGCTTCATGGGGTTCAGTGAAACAGCTTTCGTTCATCGCGGCACCGTCGCCATTGCTACCAACAGAATCATCTTGACGAAATCGTTTTCTCTTCTGAGACGATCGATCACTCTGGTCAGTCGCCAATTCTTCATATTGTTTCCTCCGTCGCTTGGATTGCTCCAAAATAAGCTTCTCTTGTGCATTCCACGACTCTCTGTTACGCAGAGAAGGTAAAAAGATGATAAAAGGGGACCGTAGTACAATGCTAGAAAAAGGAAAAAAGCAGCAAGTAAAAAGGATGCGTAGCATGTGAAATTTCCATAGCAAAAGGACTCACTCGTACAAGCGCTCGAACTCGACCAATTGACGATTCATAGCCTCACACATCTCGTCCCGAAACCGAGATTGTTGTTCAACCACTTCAGCCTTGGAATCAAACAGCTGTTCCGATAATTCCCTAACCATAGAAATGAGCTCCTGTGCCAAAAGATGGAGACAAAACTGATGTAACTGAAACAACACCGAATAAAAAGTAGTTTAAGTAGGGTCATTTAACTGTGATCCGTGCATCGAAGTTTGGGAGACACAGTCAGAGGCTAATGTTGCCAAATAATATTAATATATCAACAATAATGATAGTAACGACAATAACAAAGAGGACGGCAACAATTCAAGGAAGAGTAGACAACAAACTCTCCAGTTGATGCGTTTAGGATGAGAATCAGGGAAACGGGTAAAGGGGTGTTGTTGACAAAAACAAATCTATGCACGTATTTGGGATCCACCGCTGTATTTTCCAATTAAGACTGTATGCAACCAAAGCAGCGATCACTCTGTACTGACGAGGCCACCTAGAGCGTTGATGAAATGTCTGCAACCAAACTACTGAGCTCGGTGAACAACTCAACAATCAGGAACCCGGAATGACGTATACAACTGTAGCTGACAGTGACTTGTTCAAGTTGAATTTATGGTGTCCTAGCGTTTAATTAGTGCAAGATAGTTGAATGAAAACGCCAATTATAGAAAGTTATGCTATGGAGACGCACGGTTGTAGGAATAGATCAACAATATAAACGCGGCTAGACCAATCTCGAAGCGACGCTTCTGGAATTCAGAGTCACCCGAATTGCACATTCCTGTCACCGCTGAAATAACGGGAGAATAATGAGTACAGAATTCAGCTTCGGTGGCTAGCGGGCCGCAGCCGAAACAGTAAAAAGCATCTTGCTTTCTGCCGCTACCCATTGACTCACATGTTGCTGTTCATCGGGATTCACTCTGGATGAGTAAACAAGTATGAGGACAGCGATTATGACAATTCAAGTGTCGCGTGCCGAGAATTCGGATGAACCCTAGACGCGATCTGTGCAAGTTTGGTAGACCGAAAGTCTGGTGAAAGCAGTGATAGAACAATGTTGCAGTTGCTGCACACCACACCCCAACTCCGAGGGAGGATTAAGTCACCTGCTATGTCAACTAATCATTTATCTGGAACGATGTCCAATTGAAACGCGCAATGTAGACCGATACCCCACGCTTTGATGATGACCTGCCTTCGTAGTCGGTGCGACGGGTGGACCAAGGTATGATCTGTTGTCTAGCCGGAGACAACATAACATTTACAGAACGCGGGTAACAAGGTCGGACAGACAGGAGTTACTCTCTGGACGTCCACTCTGAGAGGGCATGGTTGTACCCGTTTTACACTGCCACCACTAACCCAACAGTGATACAGATAACCGTACAGATCCATGCGCGCATAGCACGTGACGTTACCTGTTTTGTGAACTGTTCCAAGGCGATGTCAACGTTTTCAGTGGTTGTAGGAGTAGTAGATGAACCCAAGATGGTGCCAGATCCAACCGATAATTCAACTTTGGTCTCATCTAGGAGTCCGGACTGATCCGCTTCAGAGGCAAGCAGCCGTTGTTGAGCTTCAGGTACGCTCGAGTGTCTTACGCGGACTACCGTGGCTTTTGGGACGACGGTGGGTGGGGTCTGAATGACAGAGTTGCTAGTTGAATGAACAAACGGGAAAGATAACGTCAAACATGGCGAACGGAAGATAATTCTATCAAGTAAGAGCTACAGGATACCGATAAGCTCAATGAATGCAACAATATTTAGATTCCGTGAAAGTAAACTGGTTCTGGACCAAATGAATAATGGGTGCTGGAAGACATATAGGAAAAGCCATTACCATAGAAAGTTAGAAGAGCGAATGTTTTACTCAAAATGCCTATAATGACTAGTTAATTGAGGGTCAACTCCAAGAGGTCTTTGTTTGGATAGTCACTCTGTTCACTGCCCAGCAGTAACGTGTAGGTCGATGAAGAGTGAGCCACGCTGCAGCACCAGTTTCTTTGTCATATCAGTAACCGATGAAAGCAGGCCACAACTCTGTGGTGAACTGTTGATGAGTTCAGAGAACGAAAAAAGACCGTTACTCTAAAAGATGACCTAAATGGCATAAATTATACGCAGAACATTTAAAACCCATCAATGAACCCGGGAGCACTCAAGAACAAGTAGACAGCGAGCCCCACTGAGAAAGTACGCAACATGCAAAGGAAAACAATGACAGAAAATCGATAAGCAAATAAATCATCACCATCAGTAGCTCAGCGATACAAAAAGTTGATATTTGAAAACGGTGGGATATTAAATATTGTAGAATGCGAAACGAAAAGGGAATAAGTAGTATAATGCTTAATATCGTATTATGCATCGAGGAGGAAATCCTGGTCGGAGGGGAAGTTAAGTGGGAGGGGGAGAGACAAAGAAACAGACAGGCAAATAAAGGATGAAAAGCATTACAAATATCCCCTTTTTCAACATTAGCAGTAGTATATCATTAATTTACCCCGACGCTTCATTACCACACAACCATGGTACTTACGAGATGAGGATTGAGTGTCACAGGCAAATATTCGGGGTTAAGACGCCTACACCTGATCAACAACGAATGGTCACCAACAACTGATTATTATACGAAAATAAGGCGGTATCAGCGAGACTGTTCTCTTGTGGCTTTCACTGTCCCATGTCCTAATCAACCATTACTCCACAAATAACTGATCACCAGACACACTACAACAGATGGTAAAAGTGGGAGACGATAGGAAGCGTGTCACTAGTACCAGTTGCGATTCATGTGCTGTAAGATTTTGAGCCACGCGAAAGGTGGGACGCGGGAACTTTAGCCTGAAACGCGAGATGGGCTAACAACATCTAGGTTGGCAATCAGTGAATCCATTTTCTGGTACCAAGTCAAATTTGCATCCTGTCAAGCCTTAGCCCCCGTGACGTTCCTAAAGGGAGCTCTCCATGACACCTCACGAGGAAACCAAACAAAAGTGAAAAATGAGACAACCATAGTGAACCTAACTTGTTAGAAAGACCCCCGAGAACTTCTCACAGAATCAAAACGTGAAATGTGGTATTCAAGCATAAAGCCTGACATCAAAGAATGAACCACAACTGACATCCAAAGTACGAAAATGAAAACGAGTATCCAAGTTTACATCAGCTGCCTTTTTGAGGGGCTGTTAATAGCTCAAGGGATAAATGTTACAGAAGATGAAGCAACGGAAACGATCCGGAACGAACTTTACAGAGTAAAGACCAAACTGAGGAAGGAAGAAATATCGGGTGTGATTTGCAACACTGTTTGCAAAATCTAAGTGACACAGACAGGAAGGGAACTTGGAACATGACTGCACGAACATAGTGTAGTCATCCACCACCATGATGAGAAATCGTTAATTTCAGTGTATTTGTATACCGAAGATCATTAATTAGAAATGGAGAACGTAAAGATAATTAGAAAAGAAGGAGCTGCAGAACCCGTGGATGCGTCGAGGCCTGGTATTCGAGTTAGAACTCAATCAACAGGCACTTGGAGCTAGGGTACATCTACGGAGCTCTGCAGATTAAATCCGCAACCGGCCTCAGGACAACAGGGCGGCCATGCGAATTCACCAAAGACCGACATTCAAAACAGTAATCGATCAGTAACACTACGCAACAAAGTCGCCATTTGTTTGTTGTAAGAGATTTTACAACAGTTACTAAATAAACATGTAATGTCAAATTTAAATCCGTTTTTCTGCATACTCTAGTTTACACGCGTTTTACTGTTTTGTATATCCAAAAATTGTATATCAACGCATTTTCGTTCCAGATATGACCATGGCCCACTCCAGTAGACTTCAATGTGCAGACGAACCTGATGCACTTGGTTATATGTACGCCTGTTTTACACTAGTTCGTTAAATGGGAGATATTTCGTTTGCGAAACGCATTTATAAGGCACACATCGACGTAGGCCGAGACAAAAATGGGCAGTCTCAAAGATCATCTTCGCAAATCGCACCTAGATTTCACAGCGCCCGGGGAGAAGTTGGGCCCTAGGCCACAGTACTTGAGGGAAGTTAATGTCACTCATAAGTAGGAAGCGGGGCCGGCTCATGTACCTTCTGACAAGTGGCAACCAATCCAGACATCGACCTCGCGGGATGCGATAAGCTGCACCCACAAACAATGCACTCTGTCTCGGGCCGATCGAGCCCCATAGCTGCTCATACAGGTCATCATCGATTCGATATGTGTTTACCAGTCTCCCGCACAGCGAAAACCGCGTTCGTTTGATAATCTGTCGCATCGGAAGCATGAGTAGCCACTAATATGGAATTCTTGGGTAACGACCTCAGGAGTTAACCAGGTTTCTGCCACTCCCAGTATGTCCGGATGACGAGAGGCAACGAAGTGATATAGATGGTCACGTCTGTTTGGTAAACTAACAACATTTGTGGGGCTACGTGCAGGCCGCGGTTGCGATTGACGGGCGTGCATAAAACCTGTTGATCCGGGTTCGGCGGACCCGGGGAACGATGCGGAGGTTATAATCTCCGATATCGGTGGGCCGCTTCAAATCAGTGATGGCGGATTTCAGTTTCTCTCGGCCCGAGGAATCCATAACTGGACGAATATGAATCTTACACTCGTTTAGCCTACCGAGGCGGGATAGTACCACACTCGGACTTGCGTCATCTGTGTAGATGACTCACAGAGGCCAAATCTTACTCTTCTTTCTTTTTCCAAGACGGGTGATTTACTTCACCCACAATCTGTTCACCCACATCGAGGCGCCTATCAATCACGCTCAGGCCATTGTGAAGAATTACTTTTTCAAATTTATTCACAGCCGATTTCGAAAAAGTCTGTACCTTACAGTGAAAAGCAAATGTCAGCTTTGAATTCAGCATGTACAAATTATTTAAGAACCACTGTTGATCATTTGCGGCGAAATGTTGTTACGCAATGTGATCTATGGAAAGGTAGCTAAAAAGTAAAAAGCGAACATTGTGATCAATTAAAAAATGTAACTTACAGTCATCAACATCATTATACACGTAGGCTAGAGCTGAAAAACACCTCAGCTATTGTGCCACAATACAAAAGAAAAATGCGGCGCACGCCGGCTGAGTCACCAGTAACGGATGAACACCGTTCTGGAGAGCTAACAGCTGGCTGTTGTGTCGCAAAGTTACATTATGCTTAGTAAATGAGGTGGTTAGAGAAGGAAGCTAAGCGGGAGGGAAACAAAGAAAAATAAATAAATAAATAATGTGTCAGCTGTACGCCGTAACGGCGCATCGCTGCCGCGCGACCACCACCAGTCGCGCGCGGGCTGAGTATACCGCGAGGACGCCCACCCCTACGCGGATTCGAACCGGTGACCTTATGGTTGCAAAGCAAACGTGCAGACCACTCGGCCACCGGCCGGCCACTAAGTTCGGTTCCTTGACATGTAACATGTGGATCCAACCAAACGTTGTCCATCGCCCTTCGGTCCGCAACCAGGGAGCCGAGAGGCTTCAACCGAGGCCAACTTCGAAGTAAGGGCCTTCATTCGTCTTGACTAAGCCATCACTTGGTCCCCTCCTCTTCTTCCATCCACACCCGCTGCAAACAAACAAGCACATCGCGGGAGTCAGTGGGCTGATATGCGCAACACGTGGCCCAGCCACTGGAGCCTGGTGCGTGAAATGACGGTGCTGAGCGGGTTTGCTTCTTCTTCCTGCGCAATTAACAAGATGTCGAACACGCTCGTTGCTCACACGGTGTTCCCACGAGATATGAGCCAAACTGTGAAGGCACCGGTGGTCGAACGTAACTAGCCTCTTTATGTCCGCTGATCTAATGGGCCAGGTTTCACAACCGTGCAGCAGGGTCGAAGGTATGGCTGCATTTTAAACTTTACGCTTCAGAGAGAGAGATGGAGAGTGATGTCTTGCCGGCGCCATAGGTGGCAATAGCGCCTTGTACTTCTGTTGTACGGTTTGTGATCTCGTCTTCAATTCCAACGTCGCTGATACAACTGCCTAGGTAGTTGAACTTTTGAACGACTTCTAGATGATGTCCACCAAGAATCAGCGCAGAAGGCGGTCTCTGCCAATCTTGGAGGAAAGCTTTGCACTTCGAGGGAGCAAAGCATAGCTCATAGTGAAAAACAAATGTCAGATGTGAATTAAGCACGCTCCAATTACGTAAGAACCATCGTACTTTTCCTTGCAACAAAAATGCTGTTGGAATTCATCAGCAGTACCCCGGCACGCAGTACCGACGCTTCGCTGCCGCGCAACCACCATTGGTTGCACGTTGGCTAAGGGAAGCCCTGCCCCTACACAGGCGCGAATCCGCGCCGTCAGATTACAAGACAAGCTTGTTACCTTGAGTCTACGGGCCGGCAGTGTAATCATTCCGAGTTCGCAATAGCTTACGGGGAATATGCAAATCAGCCATTGAAATATGCACCAATGATGTTACTAAGCTTAGCAACGAAACAACTGCAACTAAAATACGTAGAGGGGAGAACACAACATTCAAATGAAACGTACACATAATCCAGGAAAACACCTTTAGGAGCAAGTAGGTCGAATAGGACAGGACGACCGAACAAGTTGACTGGGCTCTTGAAATCGGGAAAGTAGCTACATTAGGGCTGCGATG